GACTGTTCAAAGTTACAGTGACACTGGAAAACAGCGACTTATGACTCTTTTTCACATTTACGACCATTCTGGTATCCTCAAGGTCATGGGATCAAAAGACACTCAGCAACTGACTCATATTTATGATGGTTACAGTGTCCCAGGGTCTTATTATGACAATGGGGAAGCCAGATTCATTTAACAGCTGGGTTACAAACTTCACAACTGCAGTGACGCATTTAACAACAAAGGAAGGTTGTAAAATGGGGCAAAAATCACTGAATAAATGTCTCACTTAGCAACCTAAATGTTGGGCTCAATTGTGGTCATAAGTTGAGGACCACCTGTATTTCGCTGTTCCTTGTTATCCTGGAACAAAATCTGTACCTTTTTCTTTCCCAAATACAAATCCATCCAGAGGCTGTTTTTCCCCAGGCAACCCTTCCTGTAATCCCAAAAATATTGCCCAACCTCATTCCATTCCTGAATGGACTTGCTTTTTTGGGGGGGGGGGATTCCCCCCCTTAAATTTCAAAGAGAACAAACCTTGACCGACCCAATTTTTATTCCCCAAAATTAGATTTTGCCTGATCTGTGAAGTCCCACCTTACGAATACTAAATACAGTACCTATAGCTTGTCATAGCAGCAGCCAAACAAACATGCCCTTCATAAGTTCTATTTCTAGCCAGGGTAAAACTCAACTTCTGCCCTTTGATATATTAAATCTAAGTTACCGAAGCTTTATCAGCTATTACTACATGGGGAGAAAGCTAAATTGGAGCCCTACGTAATGTACACATTAAACAGTCAAGCTTTATTTGATTCCCATCGCTTTTGAAACACAGCTGCCCGGACCAGATAGTTTCCTCCTTATCTCCCTCCTAGGATATCATTTTATTGTTGTGCAAATATTATTGCTTTTCTTTAACTGTATCACATCTGCTTCAGTCTCCTTGTTACAATTCCGAAAGTCAGTCCATCGGATGCTTCAATTCTCAAACCATGGCTGTGTTTGCACAAACCATGGCTGTGTTTGCAGGGGCCAAACAAATACCGTTATTTTACACATTAATGCAAAGGTGTGCTTAGTTCCCCCAACACGCTGAAATTCCTGCTACCACAGAACCCTGCATAATTCAATGTGATTTGTTTATTAAGGTTTTCACTGTTAATATCCTTAATTTGGCCCTTTTAAAATATGGCTAGAAAACACCCATTTTTTAAGAGACGGGGGGGGGGGGGGCCACATTGAGAATAACAAAGCCATTATTGAAACACAACCAATTTTGTGCAGTCGCAACATTATACCTGTCTGGGACTCAGCCTGCACTCTTTCGCAGATTCTTTCCGCCTGTGAACGAATCAGAGTGAAAAGTACAATTAACCCAAGTTGTAGGAATCGACCCGGAATTACAATTTTTTAAAACTGTAAGCCACTAAGAGTAATTGAGGGGTTCAGCGGCCTTGAAACTGAGTTAATTAAATACATAAATTCATTATGTATTATTGATCACCGCACAGTCATCCAGATGTTCAGACTCGGTTTGGCATTTCTGTGTACCTATCGAGTCCTTATCAAGGACCTGGGATAGGCAGATCTGGATGTTTGATGGTGTTACAGTTATCATGCAGGATGGAAGCTGTTCCAAGTAAAGCTGCCTTCTGCAATTGACTGATGGCAAATTTGTCAATGCCAATGATGGTGTTCAAGTGGTGCTCCAGTTGTTTTGGAATTGCACCCAAGGCTGCTATTATTATTATTGTTGTTGTTGTTGTTGTTGTTGTTTTTGTTGTTGTTGTTATTTAATCTTTAGTGAGATTCACAGCCTTTGGGGTTGGTTCATAGCTCAACAGCTCAAGTCCTAACCAAGGACCTAGGAACTGTTCAGGTAGCATCAGAAGATATAAGCTGTTCCAAGTAGGGTGGTTTTTTTGTAGAATCAGGGTATTCAAGTCTGATAAATTCAGGATTTCCAAATAGCGAGGCAGCCCTTTAGGTATTGCTCCAAGGGCTCCAATTACAATTGGGATAACACACAATTTCTTTTTCCAAAGTCGCTCAACTTCAATTTGTAAGTCCCGATACTTTGTGATTTTTTTCTTGCTGCGTGTCTTCAATTCGTGCATCACCAGGTATTGCAATGTCAATGAACCAACCCTTTTTCTTTTCAACTATTGTTATGTCAGGTGTGTTGGGGGCCAAATGCCTGTCCGTCTGAATTCTGAAGTTGCACAAGAATTATTATTATTATTATTATTATTATTATTATTATTATTGCTATTGCTTACCTTATTGTTGTCATTGCACGGTCTACTAAGTGACACATAGTGTCTAATTTTTCTGCAAAAATGAAACAAAAGAATGGAATGAGAACAATTTCGGTCTCCAACTTGTCAACTGGCTCCATTTGCTTACCGCTAAATCTTTTTTATAAAATAAAATGAAATCTAGACAAAGAAGTGTGTGTGTGTTTATTTTGCAAAGATTATTAAGCAAATTCCTGCTGTTAACTGAAACATGTGGTTGTTAAGCGAATCAGATTTCCCCTATTTGACTTGGCTTGTCGTTGGGAAGGTTTGCAAACGGCAGCGACCTCCGGATGCTGCCACTGTTGTATAAATTCAGCTCAAATTCTGATCACGTGACTGTGCTGCAACGGCTGTAAGTGTGAGGAATGGCTGTAAGTCACTTTTTCCCCCAGTTCCATTGTAACTTTGAATGCTCTCTGAATGAATTGTAGGTCAAGGACTAACTGGAAGTTTAGAGTCAAATTTTGGATGTGACAGGAATCCGTTCTCCATAAACACCTGCCTACATTTCAGAATAGAGAATAGAGATGCCGCCAATGTTAAAGCAAGCATAGACGAGCCTGTTTGGGGCAGGGGTTAAGAAGGGCTGGGCTGCTGGGGGTTCGCAGGAGTTCAGGAGAGCCCCTCGCTAAGATTCTGTGCAGTTCGTAGAACCCCCAAATCCCACTCCTGGCTGGCCCTGCCCACCCCACCCCACCCCGCCCCACCCAGGAGCCCCCACGTGGCCCGTTTTGGATGCAGGTAAGTGAAGGTTCCCGCAGAGGCTTGGGGAAGGCAAAAAACAGGCCTCGCGGAAGTTCTGGAAGGCCGGAAATGGGCCTATTTCCGGCTTCCAGAGAGCCTCCGGAGCCCGGGGAGGCCATTTTCACCCTCCCGAAGGCTCGAGGAAAGCCTCCGGAGCCCGGGGAGAGCAAAAACACCCCTCCCACCACAACGGTGCAGGAGGCCAACTAGGCCACACCCACCCAGCAACCAGGCAGAGAACCCTTTGCTAATATTTTTTGAAGCCCACCCCTGGGGTTAAGGCATCAGGCTAGCAACCAGGAGACTGTGAGTTCTAGCCTTTCCTTGGACATAAAACGAACTGGGTGGCCTTGCCCCAGTTAGTCCCTGGAAAGAAGGAGCCAAGAGCAAACCGTGTCTGAAAAATCTTGCATGGCAAACTGCAGGGACCAATCCAGGCAGTCCCCAGGAGTCCAAAACTGACTTGAAGGCACCACAAGAAGACTTACCCTCCCTGTCCAAGGACAGGTATGATCTTCACATTTTGTTGTATGCTCTCGCCGTTTTTCTTTTTGGTATAGTAAGTCCCTTGCCATTCCTGTTAGATCAAGAAAGAGGAATGTTCCACTGCCCATTCTCAAAGCACATTTTTAACTCAATTTGCTTGCCCTGATTTTGGATGGTTGTGTTCTGACCCAACCGGGTTCCCAAAGAATAAACACAGACAAAGGCAGCAGCCCCCACCTTTCAAGGTTTAATAACGAATTCTGTTCCTTTACAGAGCAAAGGCTGCTTCCCACTAATTAGCTCCGACAAGAAAGAGCCTTGCCAAGTTGTTTGTCAAGGCTGCCAAAAACCCAGAAATAAGAACTAATTTACAAGATTCTCCAAACACAAACTAAGATGTCCACCAGTTGAGCTTAAGAGCTTCTTTGCTGTCTGCAAAGAACGCTTTTCCAAACCTGGCTTTTATCCTCTTGTGGGAGGGGCCATTACTTTGCAGCCTTACTCCTGAGTTGCCTGTGCTGCTGTAATTGTTCTTTCCTCCGAGTAATCCTTCGTGCACGTGCACTTGGCACAGGCTCCTCGGGAACCTCTTCATCACTGCTGCCACAATCTCTGAAGGCAGCAGTCCACTCTCTGATGGTCCTGGCCCCTCATTTGAGTCCTCACTCTCCTAAGCCATCTGCACCTGCTGCCAGCTAACCACAACAGGTTCCCTTGTGCGAAAGCTCTGCTTTGGGAGGGTTAGCAAACTAATTCTCTCCTAGCATTGGCACAACGTTATACTGTTTGCTAGAACCTCTTCCTGCACTTGTGTTTGACTGTGTAGCTTCACTCAAATCTCCCCCACCCCCTCAGTCTTAACCACTTGGCATCTAACTGGAACTTTCTGTTGTATACGTTACAGCTAATATCCCCCTCCCACAAAGGCCACCAACATTGAATTAGAATTGTGATGACATTTTGAACAAAGAGGTTGAAAATTTTGCAAGCTTTTAGCACATGCATGCTGGATGCTTTTCAGTGCTTCTTTAGTTCTGGGGTAAAAAATAGAACATATTTGCTTGATGCAAATAAAGCTCTGCCCAATAAAGGAGAATATTTGCAGCTCGGGGTTGAAATGAGGGGTCCTTGGTGCTCTCTGAGCTTGGTTGTTTTCTTGCAGAGGTTTCATTACCCAAACTAGGTAACATCATCAGGGCCTATCTATAGACTAGCAGTGATGATGTTACCTACTTGGGTAATGAAACCTCTGCAAGAAAACATCCAAGCTCAGAGATCATCAATGACTCCTCAGAGCTCTTCCCATTCCTGCTCACTGTAATTACCCCCATTTAAATCATGAGTCTCTAGCCAGATTTTCAAAGCTTCAAGAAGATTTATTAGGAGTAAACATGCCGGCGCTGCCTGGGTGTAGCCAACTCTGAGACACATCATTCATTGTCACCCTTGACCCTGGTTTTCCCCCACCCCCTAGGTGTATCGAAATTCATATTCTCCAATGGGACACATCCATAGCCAAGAGTCATCAATCATATTCTCCAGTTAGAATTTTGCATGGCAAAAACTTTGGTCACCTAGTTACCATCTTTGAAAACATTTATGGAATGCAGTTTCGGTTTTGCAAGCTGCTGCACTGCTTCCCCCTCCCTTTCTATTGGCAACTATAAAAGACCTGAGAAATCTTTTATGAGTTGACACTCACTTCCATAACATCACTTGCAATGATGAACTGCAAACTTCAAGTAGGGGATGGCCCCAAAAGACTCATAGCTATGCTTCCCAATAGAGTCCCAAATTACAGCATTTATCTATTGTATCTATGGCAGATCAAACCCCAAACAAGTAACTTAAAAACGAAAAGGAAATCTAAACAAATTCTCAGTGAAAAGCTTCTGTTTTATTTGCCTTAAAAAGATATATTTTATCACCTCCAGTCTTTCTTCTTCCAAATTCCAAACAGGCTAGAAATAGGATACTGGGAGTTCTAGACCCATCTTTGGCAAAGTGACCTTGGGCCAGTCACATTCTCCCAGCCCTTGGAAGGAGACAATGGCCAGCCACTTCTAAATAACCTTGCCACCCAAAACCAGGTCCATGCCTACCTTTTCGAACTTGATGCAAGAATTAATAGTGTCAAGGAAATCAGCTTTTTTTTCATTTGTAGGCACTTCTGTTAGTTCCTTTCCTATTAATTCGCCTTTCTGATAGCCCATTACTGCTTCAAATGCAGGATTTACATACTGTGGAAACAGTAAGAAAAAAGAAACAAGTGAGAATTTAAGACCAACCTGAGCTTTGATCTAATATTTAGCCTCAATGCACATTTTCTAAACTGTCTAGAACTGTTTTCACTAAAAGAGATCCTGAAGTGGAGCCCAGTGCAGAGGCTGTCCTTATTATGGGGAACTCTTTTAGTAAAAAGGCTGAAGGCTGATAGATACTGATGAAATTATAATTCTTAAATAAATAATTAAACAAGGCATTTAGTGGTATGCAATCCCCACTCTATTCTCACCCCTTCAATGGGACTGCACAGCACCCTTAAACATTTCTTTAAAAATCTATTGGCTCCATTCACACATGCTAAACTCTGGCAGCTCTTTTTCTCCTTCTCTCTCTCTCTCTCTCTCTCTCTCCCTCCCTCCCTCCCTCCCTCTCTCTGTTTCTCTCTCTCTCTCTCTCTCTCTCTCTCTCTCTCTCTCTCTCTCTCTCTCTGTGTGTGTGTGTGTGTGTGTGTGTGTGTGTGTGTGAGAGAGAGAGAGAGAGAGAGAGAGA